AGCATTGGCCTGTACTACCGCGCCGCGCAGACAGCGAACATGCCTCCCTATTGTCGGCCTGTTAGGGTGATTCACTGCTGGTCGATTTCCCTTTGCACAACGCGCTGCGGCTCAGTGCCACGTCCGTGGTGACATCACACGCGCACATCTTGCCATATTAGGGGACGTGATGGAGGGAGCACGTCCCCGTGCGGTTCAGTCGTTGCAGCAGCAGCAGCAGCCCTTCTGTGCAGCATCACGATCCCACGGTGTCCCATCCTGCCACTTCACGCTCGAGCCTTCACAAGCTTGGCTGAATGCACCATGCACACCAGCTGCACTTCGAGCTGTTAGGTCACAGTTAACTGGCATCTTCCCCGCTTTTTACTTTTCCACGCTTCTTCTAATTCACATGCTTTTGTCGACGATCCCCCTCCCTTTCCCTTTCCACAGTTTGTCTCTCCCCTCTCTCTCTATCTCTGTCTGTGTCACTGAGGATGGAATGCAGATCTAAGATCAGCAGAGTGTGTTATGGCAGAGCCGTGGAGAGCTCAGAGGTATCTGCAGAGAGGCTATTACAGTAGCAGTGGCAGCTGGAGCAATGGGGGAATAATGCACAGTAGAAAATGTAGTGCTGCGCCACCGCTCCGTTGTGCTTACTGAAGGCTGGTTTAGGGCCCGACAGCGCTACAGCATCACGATGCAAGATGCCGATGGAGCGGGGTTTGGGTTGCTAGCTCCCTTGCTAGCTGCCACAGACATTGCTCTGTTTGGACAGGAAGCACACACGAGGCTAAACGGGAGCAGGGAAATGTGATGCTTGCGTCAAGACGAGTTAGAGCTAATCAAAGGGGCAGTTTTGTTAATGTTTGTTGCAGCCGCTACGTGCGTGTTCTATGCACGTGTGTGTGTGTGTGTGTGTGTGTGTGTTCAGGGTGTAGGATTTCAAGACAGCATCCCAGAGGAGACGTTAGCATGAGGCCCAGAGGACATGCTGAGAGTCAAAGTGAGGCATTTCTTAGGCAAACTACAAATGCAGAGGCATGCACAAGTGGACACATGCGCATATGCAACACACCTTCATCATCATCTGCAAAAAGATGTTTCTCATGCTCATCACACACTACCCCCCCCCAAATCCAGCATTTACATTTCTGCTGCTGCTTCACTTTGGATTTGTGAATGAAGCGCCGCTCAGTTCGTGTCCAGGAGCAGGTCATGAATAATGCAGCGAGTTTTTCTCTCCAGCTGCGTCTGAATCATCAGCGAGGCTGTGTCCGTGTGCTGAGGTGATGGGAGGCTTTTGTTTTGATGTAAAAGCAGAGAGGAGAGGTCACTTGTGTGAGCTTGCTGCATCACAAAGACTCCAAAATGGTCTTTTTCCTGTCTTTGTTGTAAATAAGTATATGTGTTCATTAAAGTGGGCATTAGCCGTTAGTCTTGTTTTTGTTGTGCGGGAGCACTTCCGCTGCATCTTTGGCGCTGAGATGTTTTTTTTTGTTGTGGTCCATTTGCAAGAAATCACTCATCACGAAACCAGTTTGTGTGGCTGATGCCGTTCATCTTTTATCTTGGATTTGTTGTTGATGAAGTACAGGAGGTGATGGGGGCATTTCTTTGCTTGTTCAGATGTGGTGTCTATGCTTTCAGATATTTAGAGGGATGCACTTCCTGTGTTATTTAGTTTTTTTTGGGGGAAATCATAACCATACCAGGAACTTACAATGGAAAATCTAAATACTTGTTGTAATCGAACATTAAGTGAATTAGTATTGTTTTGGTTTGAAATGCAGGCAGTTATCAAAGCTGCATGAAAAGCTTTTGACCACTGAAGGGGAGGAAGTGAAATCCAAAGTTACTTCCCAGCAGCAGTCATCAGTTGTTGCTACAAATTCAGCACAAACAGGTTAATAAAGATATTGATTAGTGCACCTTATTAAGAAAAAGTTGAATAGGTCAATCACTGATTGTTGCTGTCTGGTATTTGGCGATTTTTCTGTTATTGGACCAAGTTGTGTTATTATGTCATATCTGCTATTCAATCAATCTTGTTTTAATGTAGTAGTGATGCTTGAGAGCACATTCTGTACGCTTAACTTCTGCCATATTTGAACTGTACAGCATGAGCTATGCACTGCGCTCATACATCATCCTGTCTCTCCTTAAAGCTGGCACTTCACTGTAGTGAGATTATTCAGTGTTTGACATTGGCTTGGGCAGTATTGTTGGTTTTTAGAAATCCCGACGGTATGATTCTCAAAACGTCATAAATACATACGCTGCACATTCTTTGATGCAGTATTAATGTTATGTGTTGTAATGTTGTGTATTGTAGGCCGCAGCAAGCGCCACCAGGTCGGTCCCTCTGGTGTAACAAGGCAGCTGAGCTCAGAACGATGGCGACTGAGTGTTTCGGGTTTAGTTCTCTTCAAACGACCAAAGCAGTTCACACCTGATTTTATTCAACGAACACAGACAGTAGTCGGCCTACGCAGTTCTATAGGTGTGGACTTACGGCCGCGTGCTCGCTGTGTGTGTGTGTGTGTGTGTGAGATAGTGACAGAGAGAGGTGGAGGAAGAGAAGGTGGACTAATGTTTCTAGTTAATAACTTACTCTTAACACAGCTTTGTCACCCACTCGCTCTAACCAGTGATATTTTCTAGTAGGCTAAGCGTACTGGACCTGGAACGAGGTCGGTCCACCCATCCATCCCTACGCAGCCTCCGCTGGAATCTCATTCTACAAAAAGTAAAATAGTAGTAATGTTAGTGGAGCCTGTCTTTTATATGCAATTGTGCAGAAATACTTTAAACACAATGAATAGGCATGCAAAAAAAAAAAATCTGCACAGCATCGGATGTTGATTTGGATTTCAAAAGTCAACGTAGTGAATGAAGCTTCCACTGAACTATTCGGTACAGCCCCGCTTCATCGTATAGTCTGCTGCATGTTTCAGCACCATGGACAGAGACCGAAGGTCTAAATATCATAGAGTCATTTGTTTAAACTAAATAAAAGAATAAAAGAAGGCATTGAATTACATATTAGTTTTTAGTAAGAGGAAGAATTCAGATACTTTACTGCAGTTAAAGTACTAATACCAGATGGGGAAAATACTTTACAAATACTTCTGCAAAACGTTAAGTAACTGTGTCCAAGTATTATCAGTCGAATATATTTGAAGTTCATTGTGCAGTAAAATGTTCCCTGTCAGTGTTTTACTGTTATATATGATGTTTCTGGCTCAATATTACTGCTACATTAATGTACATGTTGCATTTTACTGCTGTAGATGTTTAAGTTTGTGCTAATTTGAACTCCTTAGTATATTGCTCGTTTAATCTACAGCAATGCATCAGCATCGCTGTCCTGTGAGAGAACTACATATCTCTAAACAGAGCCCTGTTTTCCTCAAACCAAAGCCACACCCTTGTATATTGTACAATGTATATGACAAGTATACATATTTATACATACAAGTATATGTACACTGTACATATACTGTACATTTATTACACTCAGCCTAACCCGGATGGTCTGTGAGACAGTAGGCGGGGACCAAAACCTCCTCTGTGGTTCAGTGAAATAGCCAATCACACGTGAGGAGCCCTTACCTTGGCCACTGAGCAAGGCTGTCAGCAGTGATTTATGAAGCCCTTTGAAATGTATGGAAAGTTGTCGCGTACAAAATGAAAGGAATGCTTCACAGAGCTCTTTCCTTTCCTTACCAAAATGTCATTATTATTTTGGAGAAAAAGTGGGAGAAATGTAGGAGAAAAGTGGCTTATGAATAATTGATTCTCAACAAAAGAATGAATGCATTAACGCACAGTCAGCCCTCCTCTGTGACAGCCGGACAATGATAAAAATGATTGATAGCTCTTTCTTTTTTTTTTTTTTAAATATGGCACTCCTGACTGTGAAGTTAAAGTCACAATATGTCCAACAGAACTGCCGTTCATAAATTCAGACAGAAGTTAGACATGTTGTTATTGTCTCTCTCCATCCCTTCATGTCCATTGTACTGTGTACACAGACACAATCTGTGAAACTCTGAATCATTTATCAATGCACTACTTTCAGCACGCTGTCTGGCTCCTCATCGCTCTGCCTTTGCACACACACACATACTCCCACTATTAATTTGGAAATACAAACAGGTCATATCCAGGCAGGCCGTGTTGTTAATCTTGTGTCATCCTGTTGTTTATAAGCATTGCAAATGATGATGATTTAAGCACCTATATCCACAAAGTAATCAGATGCTATCAAAATGGAAATGAAAGATTGCCTATGGCACTAAAGGAGTCAAGTATTGGATACTACGTTGTCTGTGTGGAGACTGCAACCTTCTAAATCAAATTAGATAATCAAACAGGATTTTCACTGCATGAGTGTGTGTTTTTTTCGAATGCAAAGACCTGTTTATCTGCCTGTATTCATACTCCTTGCACATATTCCCTGTGAAATCTAAAGGTCACGTGACGATTGCATGCAAAGTTACAGGAGAGCATTAGTCAGCCATGTTATAGAGCATGTAGAGTCTGTTGCAATGAGAAGAGGGAGTGGCGCTGCACCCTGCTGCTTAGTCCCATTTCTCTCTCTCTGTGCACGTGCGTGTGTGCGTGTGTGTGTGTGTGTGTGTGTGTGTGTGTGTGTGTGTGTGTGTGTGAGAGACAGAGACAGAGCAGGCTTTCATCAGGTTTTGACAGGGACTGAGGCCGACAAAGTGCAGGGCAAAGTAAAGTGAAGCGATAGACTGGAGGCTTCAGCTCCGGCAGAGATGAAGCACCGTGAAGCTAATGTTTGACTGATATCTCACATTTCCACCTGTGCTCAGGCAGACACGCTGTACAGTCTCTGGAAATTAACTAAGCATCAGCATGCACACGCAAAAGTGATTATTTTTTTTTAAATAAATCATTATATGTACAGTGTATTCAGAGAATCAGAGAAAATCCAGTTCAAAGTGGACCAACCACTAAATTCCACTCTTTTGTCCCCTGTCTTTGATCTACAGGAAACGAAGTCCATCTGCATCCAGGGATCCAAACCAAAAATACGACCAAAGGGAGGGGGGCGACCACTCACAGTATGCCCCGACGGACGGCGGCATGCCCAGATCACCGTCTGACTATGGGGATGGGGACCATCGGCGGGCTCCGCGGGGCCCACACATGTACGCAGACGCGGATGCGGCACGGACCGGCTACCGGGACCGGCGGGGCCCCGGGCGCTGGCACTCCCAGGAATACCCGCTGGACCAGGAGCTAGATGGACCACCCAGCGAGTACGACCTGCAGCGTCAGCGCCAGGAGGAGTTCCAGACGCGCTATCGCAGCGACCCCAACCTGGCACGCTACCCTGTGAAGCCGCAGCCCTACGAGGAGCAGATGAGGATGCACGCCGAGGTGGGCCGCCTGAGGCACGAGCGCCGTCATAGCGACGTCTCACTGGCCTACACGGAGCAGGATGACCCAGGCCCCATCCGGCTGTCCCGACAGCATCTCACCGAGCGCCGGCCGCCTATGGTGGGACAGCGCTCCTACTCCGTCGACCGCTCCTCACCAGGGCCCATGGGTCCCGGCCTTGGAGGCCACAGGACCTCCAACCACAGCCCCCCGACGCCGCACCGGAGCCCCGTGCTGGGTGACCGATCCGGGGACCTGCGGAGAGGCGACCTGGGTGATCCCATGAGGAGGCAGCAACACCACTTAGACCCCAGTTCGGCCGTCCGCAAGACCAAGAGGGAGAAGATGGAGAGCATGTTGAGGAATGACTCTCTCAGCTCGGACCAGTCGGAGTCGGTGCGCCCGCCACCCCCCAAGCCCCACAAAACCAAAAAGGGAGGAAAGATGCGGCAGGTGTCGCTGAGCAGCTCGGAGGAGGAGCTGGCCACCACACCAGAGTACACCAGCTGTGAGGACGTGGAGATAGAGAGTGAGTCAGTCAGTGAGAAAGGTAGGGGCCACATACAGCACTGCTTCTTCCTCTGTTTAGAGCTTTATGTAATTCTTCTCATGCTTTTTCATCCAATTATAAAGCCTTTTCTAGTATCATACTGACATAATGTTGTTTAGAAAGAAAGATTTCAGTTCATTATGTTTTAATTATTGTTGCTGTCTCATGTTGATATTGATTCTTGCAGCTGTTGACTCAGATATAACCTTCAGATTCCCCAGTCTACAGTCTCTACACATGCTTTGTGTGTTTGTATGTCTTCATGTGTATTTGTATGTGTAAGGCTCATTATTTTTGATAAGATTGTATTTTATTTTTTTTAATAACAGCTTAAGATCCATTAAAAAACGTAAAAATAGATGAAAACACCACTTTTACACTTTGTAGATCCACAAATATATGTTTTTGTTTTCCTTAGAGTGACTCTGGTGCACAATCAGTCGCTCATTTTATATTTTCTCTACTTTTTTCCTCATCAGTTTCTACTTTCGTAACTACTACTAAACTGCGGTGAACAGTTGATTATTTCTTCAGAAGACACAACAGCTTCATGTGTATGATGATGACATTGGTTTAAATAATCTCTGCTTCTCGAAAACACTGAGCCTTACGTCGATGCAAAGCAGTGTTGCGTTTTACGTGTGTTATCTACGAACATTCTACTCTAACAGCTCCGGTGCCTGTGAGGAGGAGCCAGCCGGATCAGCTTCAGTGTGGATGGGTGCTTTATGTGTATGGCTGTGACTTTGAAACAAATGTAAAGCTACTGTGTTTGCTGGCATCTTGTGGCACATTTGGCCAGGTCCTACCACAGCTGTGTCACATGATCGGCCCTTTCTATCGGACAGTGTTGCGTAACTGACAGACAGAGGGGCGCAGGGAGAGGGCCGGGGTGTGGGTGTCTAGTGAAATATTAATTGCAGTGTGTTTTATCGAGTAGCTTTATATCATCACTGCTGCATACCAATGAATATTATTGTGATGTTATTAGAATAAAGGTAATAGAAGAGCAGAGGGTGATTATGTGTTTTCCTGCAGTATGCTGCACCTCCTCTGTAAACCTGGGTCTCCACACTGCTTTGCTAGCACGCTGATGATGTCATTCCTGGTACAGTGGCCCGTCACAAAGTGGAAGTAGGACTACGGTTCAGTCCAGCTGGGAAGGCAGCAAAAGCTGATGGTGGTTGTGTCCGCCTGTCCTGCTGTCTGCTTACAACAAGAACATCAGACCTCTCATGGCAAATGTCCTACCTGCTTGGAAAAAAACAAGCGCACTTGTCGAATTGTACAAGCGCGCACTGGCAAGCAAACAGTCAGAGTGACTGAATTAAATGCCGCTTTGCATAGAATCAACATCAAAAGCAATCGTTAGGCTGTTAGCTTCATGACCGCTCCCCCCCCGCTTGACAGTTGTCGTAATTGCAAATTGATTTTGTTGTCAAACCTGTAATTACGGAGGCCTTTGCTTTAGAAATGGTAAAAGCAGCGAACACCGAAGAAAGAATGAGGCGCAGTTGACAAATGGTGGAATAAAGGATTGAAAGGAGGAAAAGTACAGTAGCACAGTTTTTCTTTTGTCGGTAGCAGCAGACCCAGAGCTGCCATATGCTCCGGAATGTTTAATCTGGAGCAGAGGGGAGGAATTCAGTCGGTCTGCTCCATTATGTAACTGTTCTCCTCACCAAAGGAAGCGGCCCAGTGATAGCGCTACATTATTGATGTGGGAGTTTCCAGGTTTCCAGGTAGCCGCGGTACAGAAATAGAGAGAAGAAGCGGGCTGTGTTGAGGGTCAGAGTTTCTGTTGTTCCTGTCTGCTTCTGTCTGCCTCCTCCACAGGTCAGCCTGCGTAGGAGAGAGAGGCAAAACAAAGGACAGAGCTGAACTTTTGACCCGAATAAGTTGAGCAAACCACACCAGCTACAGCACACACAGGGACAGCTGATTACACGCAGCTATCTTTGGTCTTTATTTTCTTATAATTGTCACTTTCATTCATTTATGACACAATTAAGGCTCCTGTGATATGGCGCATGCAGGGAGTCTAATAAATGGTTCAGTAGAACCGTGTATTAGTGTTCCTGTTTGCACTCTGTCAAGTAGACTTAATTATATAACGGACAGCCGAGAGGGGATGCAAACTCCAGGCCTCAGATTTGGACATGTGACATCCTACCGGCCATCAACAAAGATCAGTCAGTTTTGGCAGTACAGAGAGTTTACAAATGGAACTAATTTAGCACCAGGTGTTTTTTTACGCCAATTGTGATTTACGGCCACTGTTCATTCTAAAGAGCTGACACAATCAAGAAATCTCCCTGCATGTACTATCACATACAAACCAAGCACTCTACATCCGCTAACCCTCATCCGAAGCGAGGGTCAAAGGGCGGATGGTGTTTGATGCTGTGCAGATTGTAAAGCCCCTTGAGGCAAATCTGTGATTCGTGATATTGGGCTCTATAAATAAAAATGGACTTGAAAAAGTCAAGGGAAAAAAAAAACAGCCAGAGCAGCAGAGCAAAGAACACCAATTATAATTGCATGTGAGGCCACAACTGACTCCGCCAGAAGATGGGTGTGTGACAGCAGGCTCAGGCCAGAGGAAGGAGGAGGGCCTGATGGGATGAAAAGGAAGGGAGACCAGGGGGAGGTGGGGGAGGAGTCTGGAGGGGAGAGGGTGTGCCGGCTGTAATGGGCCTGGCTCGTGCCTGCGAGTGCTGGAGACTGATTTATCGCGGTGTTCCTCTCCCCGTGTTTTCCTCTGTATCGATTCCCCTGACATGCCGTCTCATAATAGTGCCGAACAGACAGAAAAGGAGAAGCTGGCTGGCTAACTACGGCAGAGAGGTGGACGGTGCGTCGTGACAGCCTAAGTTACATCCTCATCAATGCTCTTCTGGGATCGGTTTTTGCACCTCAATAAGTCTGTTCGGTTCATAGTAGCATCACCATGTTTTGTGCTTCACAGTAAAAGTTAGGTATGGGCCCTTTGTTTCAGAATAAAAGCTCTTGTTGTGAGATCTGCCTCTACCAGGGGCTTAACGTGACACCGTATCACCTTCCCAGCGTGGCGACTATGTTTAAACATACACACAGTCTCACGCCTGCCTCTTTCCTGCTCTCGCCCCTTGAATTGTAGTAAAAATAGCATCAATAATTAATGATCCAATTAATAGTTTACACTGTTTTTTATTGAGCTGTCAAAGTGATGGAAAGCCTGCTGGTGGTGAACTCCACCACTGCCTGCTCTCTGCCTCTGTCCTGAATCAGCACTTTGCAGGGGGTCTCAGAGTCGGGGGGCGAAAACGGCAGGGCCGGGCTCAGACTGCTGATGCTCACAATTTACGGCCGTGATGAGTTTCCTGCTCCCTGAAAAAAAAAAAAAAAACACACACACAGTGCCTCGCCGGGGATCAGTGCCCAATTGTGATGTGCCACTGTTAATAAAGCTTGGGCGAAAGAGAGGCTGGATGCAGCTCCGTGTTGGCGCCCACTCAAATTCTTTTTGACAGATGTGGAGGGTGGGCTGTGGGAGGAGTGTGATGGGAGGAAGAGCAGACACAGGTGGAGGGGAAACTGTGACCGATACAACCTTGAGATAAGCTGCAAAAGCATCTGAATTGATCTATTGCTCCAAAAAAAGTCCAAAAAATGCAAACTTCACATGTTTACATGATAATGTTTCTTCCTCTCCCTGATCATAGAGGCAGGCCTTAAGCTGTTTGCACTATCATGGCCACATTAGGCAAGTGAGTCGTTCCGTGGAGAGTGTCCACCACGCTGAACTGGGCTCTGGTGTTTGTGCCGCCGACAGACTAGCAGCTGGGAGGCGAAGAGGGTAATCACTGTTGTCAGCTGTTGGTTAGAAGGCCGCAGAGGGCAAAGCCTGTCCGGGGACATCCATAATGTTTTATCACAGCGCATAACTGTGTACAGTTAGTCGTTTTAGCACTCCCCTTGACTGATGGATGGATAGCGGTGATAGAAGAGAGAGAGGGGGGAGAAGGACAGCGTGGTAGTTTGGCTCAGACTGACCTTGCAACTTAGTCACAACTCTGAATATGAAGAAGGATCGCAAGTGTGGAAATGTCATCGGGAGGTGTTTTACTCTGGCTGGTGTGGATATAGATTAGATTCATTATAAAATAAACATAGTAAATATAGCAAAGCTGGAGGTGGATCTTTTCAGCATCACCCCAAAGGAGTGCAACATTTTGTAAAAAATGAAAATGCACAACTTCTTACATTATATTGGAAAAATATTATGAAAATCTAGGTCCCAACTTTATAGAATAATGTTACGAAAAATATACCGAATCAAAATACGTCTTTGTTTCACACATTTCTTCCCCTTTACTGTTAACCACATTGCCCTTACCAGATGAATTGTGGGGGAAAAGGGAATCAGACTGGGCAAGAGACATGATCCAATGAATCTGTTAACAGGAACTTGTATCAGCAATCACTCTGGTGAACAATGTCATGATACAGTAAGTAACAAGGGACAACGCTGTGGAACTTAAACTCAAGTTGTAATAAACCTAAATGATCCCTTAAAACAAGATCTGTGTGCATTTCTCCATCAGCTATGTTTAAGTGATGTGGCTATATTTATTCACAGTGGCACTATCTATACACCACTCTTCTTCCACGCAGCTTCTTCTTCTCTACATTTCTCTACATCCCCCCCCCCACACACACACACACACACACGCACTACCAGAAGCATATGCAGGCTATTTTTATGCCTTTCCATCAGAGTCCCCTGATTTCCCCAAGACTGACTCCTCTGCCAGATAATGCTTGAAGGATGCCTGTCCTGTAAAGGTCCATTAGGTTCTGCAGCTCTCTGCAGGGGAAGTGAAGTGTGTGAAGAGCGATGTATATGGCCCCGGGGGTTGTGGTGTTTTCAGATGACCTTCCTGTGCCCCTGGCCTTGAGGTTCACTACAGCTACGTACACATACAGTACACATAGTACATACTTTCACGCAAACACGCGAGTACATCCATGTATAAGTGGAAGAGTAGGGTCGGCTCTCTAAACTCTAACTGACCTTTTCATGGGAGCAATTTCACTTGGGATTGTTAAAATGTCTCGACCGAGTAAGCGAACAACATTTAAATGTCCATTCCGCCTTCGTAACATGACGTTTAATGCAGAGATGTGCTTGTCTCTCAGGTCTCAGTCAAACAGTATCTCCCTGACAACTGAAACGATTCCTCCCCGTGTTCACGCAGCCTCAACACTCAGTCCTCTTAACCTCCACGCTGCTCTCCATCGGGACTCCAACAGCCCTGACTACATTCACTGCGTTTCACTCTTTCTAATTAGCTTATATTTGTGAAGCCTCTTTATCAAATTGAAAGCACACTCCATCTCTCTTCTCGGTGCATCCCGCATCTTGAAAACAGGTCGGTTCTTGCATTCGTAGCTTCCCACCAGAAGAAATGCTCCCAGCGGGTGGATTTTGTCTCATAAGACATCTGCGTCTCTTGGGTTTGTTTTAACGGAAGCATCGCGTCTGCAGCAAGAGATGGAGCTATAGGTCTTAAGGGTCCAACCACCATCAGTTCCTCTCTAACCCTTCTGCTGGATTGATGAAACAATTCAGAAAAAGTTTCAAAGAAATGTCCCAGGAACCTCCGTCCTGTAGAACCATTACAGCCGCTTGCCCAGCCTGCGTGTCTCAGGGCTGCGTGTCCACTGGTGCCTCCACAGAAGCGGCAGTCAGAGCCGCATCTTTAAAAGCTGTCCCCCGGTGCACTTTGGATTGAGGTCAGTTAAGGCTGTGCGGCACTGCAATCTGGATCCTCAGTTAAACATATTAGAGATGTGCCCTGCTCCCCCCCCCACTCTGCCTGCCTGCCTCCCTCCCT